ATGTGATATCATCCGTCTCTTCATCCACCGCCCCATAGAGAAATAACTCCACCTTCTTGTATTTTAAACATTTATTTCACAAACACAAAACTAATACTAAACTACAATACTAATAACTGAAATATATAAAGTAATACAAGTTAATTTCGTTTTCATTAATGGCTCCCACGAACCTCCGTATGACCTCTCTGTCGGTCTCCCTCTTGAAACTAAACTTTGGCGCCTTCAGATTAAGAGCCAGCGCCCTCTATACATCTCGTTGTTGGTGTCACCCATACATCACATCCCCATCCAAGATTGAAATAGGGTGAAAGCCTATGAAATATGACAAATTATGGTGACGTCAAACAAAAGAGTTACCTACCTACTAAAGTCTACAAATCAATCAATACTGAAGTTGAAAGATACATAACACAATACTTATACAGATTACTTCTACTACAAGACTTCTTCTAAAACTGTAACATATAAATAATTAAAAATTAGTAATGAAACAATTATAATACAATAGAATACTTAAAGTTTCTATGGTATACTTAAAAGTTTCTAGGAGAGTAGCTAAAAAAGAAACACACACATAAAAAAATAATAATCTTAAAAGTTCATAAATGTCTATGAAAAGTTCTTTCTTTCACAATCATCAATAGTCTCTAGTCTGAACAACGCATCAGCATTGCTTAACTTACCACCTGGGCAATGTGAAATTGTAGTATCATACTTTTGTAATGCTAAAGCCCATGTCTGTAACTTAGAAGATTGTGGTGCATTCTTTGTGATGAAAGTTAACGGATTGTGATCTTATCAGTTCCACAGGTGATCCAAAAATTCAAGTTTCAAACTTTTTCAAGCTCCAAATAACAGCATAAGCTTCCCTCTCAATAGTTGGCCATGCTTGTTGTGTTTTGGTTAGTTTCTGGCTGGTGTAACTAATCGGGTACAACTTTCTGTTTTTCCTTTGAGATAAGCAGGCTCCAACACCTGTTGAAGATGCATCACATTGAATTATAAAAGGTAAACCTGGAACATTGGTATAAAGACTAAGTGCTTCCATAGGCATTTCTTTATTATGAATCTTCGTCGTGTTTTTTCTGTCCAGCACAGCTCTTCAGGACTTCTTCTTTCGTGAGCTCGGTTAATGGATAAGCTGTTTCGGCGTAATGTGGAATGTAATCTCTGTAATAATTACATAGGCCTAGAATGCTTTCAGTTGTTTTTTGTTGAGGTCTAGCTAATTTCTGGATAGCCTCCACTTCTCTGTATCTGTCGATGACTGGCCGGAATCGATGATATGTCCTAGATACTTAAAGATTTTAGCGAAGAACACTTCTGAGATTTACAGAAAACTGTAGTTCTAACAGTTTTAAAAAAATGCTGTCAAGATGTACTAAATATTCATTCCAACTATTTGAATAAATTTCTATGTCATCGACGTAGGCTCGAGAAAAATCTTTGTATTTATCAAGGGCCTAGTTCATCACTCTCTGAAATGTTGCATCGGCGTTGCGTAGCCCAAAAGGCATGACTTTAAATTGATACTGAGCTCGATGTGTCTTAACCATGCTAATTCTTGACTTTCTCTTTCTAATAATATGGCCTTTGAGTAAATCAATGCTGGATATCACTTTGGCTTTTCCAATGTGGAATAAGAGCTCTTTAGGATTTTCCATAGGGAAGTCATGGTTTTCGTTACTGCATTAAGGGATCTAAAGTCAACACAAAGGCAAAGATTACCGTCTTCTTCATAACGCATACAATAGGGTACGAATTTCAGCGTGGTTTCTTCAATCAATCCCATTGACAACATTTCTTCGATTTGTTTATCTCTTGAGGCTTCATGCTTCTGGAATTCGATAAACATATGGCTTCTTTCTTTCATGTCATTTAATCTTATTTTATGTTCTTTTACTTTGGCAATTTTGTACCTTATTATAAATAAGTTTCATATTTCTTAACAAGTTCTTATGTCATTCCTTTTATCATCATTTAAATGGTTTAAGTCTACTCACTAAGATGAAAATGATCAGACTTGTCACTCGCACTGGGTGTGGAATGGACTTCTCCTAGTTCTTCTTGTCTCAAATATTACACCTACTGCCTGTTACTGGATTAAATTTCTAATTTTATTTACGTGTACTCTTCTTATTGTACCATCTGTCAGTTTGACTCTGTAAGAATCTGGATTATGACGAGATACTATTTCTGCAGGTCCTGTCCATCTGGCATATAATTTATTACTGGAATCAGCAGGTACACTTGATCTCTAGGACTGAATTCTTTATATATAGCCCTTCGATTAGCATATCTTGCATATGCACCTTGTTTCAATTCTGCAGTTATAGATGCTTGCTCTGCTGCTATTTCTAAATTCATTTTTAGTTCCTGTAGATAACCAATAGCACTTTTACCCAATTTTATTTGTAATGGAATTTCTCCTGACCATGACGATTTTAATACTGACAACGGACCTCTGGTCTCTCTTCCATGCATTAATTTAAATGGGGATACTCCCGTAGTACAATTTGGAATTTCGCGGTAAGCGAATAACAGGTATGGTATGTGTTTGTCCCAATTTTTAGAGTCGTTTGTAATGATATGATGAAGCATACGTTTTAGAACTTGGTTATACCGTTCAACTAATCCCGAACTTCCTGTCCTGGTATTGCGATGTCCTGGTGGATGTCCTGGTATTGCAAATCTAGGACTTGCTCCTAATCTGGCATGAAATTCTTGTGTTAATTCTGCAACAAAATTGGTACCTTGATCGTTAGCTATTACCAGAGGTATGCCCATTCTCATAAAGATTTCTAACAATGCGTTGCATGTTGATTTTGCTGTAATTGTTCTCAAAGGGACAGCTTCTGGCCACCTAGAATGTTGGTCGACTAAACATAGTACATATTTGTGTTTACGTGCTGCTGGAGGTTCAATTGGACAGATTATATCTACACTCACTGTGTTGAAATGGAAATTCAGATGAACTGAATTTCCATCGACTGGAAACTGTGGGTATACGAATCGCTAGTTCTTTCTCTACTTTGTATTTGACATTCTTTACAAGTTTTACAGTATTCTTCAATATCTCATGACATGTTTGGCCAATAAAATGAATAACGAATCCTTTCTTTTGTTTTTCTCATCCCTAAATGATTTGCTAAAAATAGATTCGTGAGCTAATTTTAAAATATTGTTCCCTTCTAACTTTAGGTAATACCAATTGACTAACTTGTTCTCCGGAAATTCTTTTTGGTATGATAAATCAAGATCATCCATTGAAAAATATTTATTTTTATTTCTTTGCGCGAAATTCTTTCGGTATGATAAATCAGATCATCCATTGAAAAATATTTATTTTTTATAGATATTGCGTAATGTCTCACATTCCCTTTGCTGATGTTTAAAAATACTGGCATCCGGAATGTTGACCCACATTTAATTTATCCTCACTTTCGTTTTCGCCCTGAATGCAACTTATGACTAAATTTTGCTCGCCTTCCTGTCAATTCAAGCGCGGCTTTCGCCTAACTTTTGATGACTCCTCACTTCCGGTATCTGTGATGGAGACACTGTGTCACAATCACAAATCGTGCTAAGCAGATGTGATTCAGAGGTCAATAAATCATAAACGTATGGAGTAATTACGCAGGGAATATGAAGTTTTTCTGTTAAAGCTACTAATATTTCGACAGGTTTCAATAAATTAGGATTATCAGCATTTCTGATGGATATAGGAATTCTAGCCACATTAGCTGATATAGTTTCTCCAAATGCAGAAATTAGGTCAATATTATAGTTGTTCTCAATAGAGAAATTTGATATGTGTTTCAGATTTATGACAGATATCTCGTCACTCAAATAAATTATGGCTTGGATTTCGTTACCTGCAACGCAAATGCAGTCAAAGTCTTTAATCCGGACTCGTCGGGACTTCGGCGATTCCGGATTATCGATTTTTTTTCAGATTATAGATCATCAGTTTAAATCTGGTAAGATGGCATGTGAAATTATAAAATTAAAAATATGAAACCGTAATTTATAAAATAATGAGCAATTGTGATCTAAAGGGTATCAAAAATTACAAAAAAAAAAGCTTAATAGTATTTATTTGTTTACTTTATTAAACATTTCTTTCAACGCGTGTAAAGCATACATTTCGCATAGCCGAAATTAGAAAATTGCAACCAGAAAACTATTTGATTTGTATTCGTGATATTTATAATGATGAGGAATTTGATTTAAATCATAACAAAGACGGAGTACATAGATGATGAAATACTACATTTAGTAAAGAATTATAAGCCGAATAAAATAAAAACATCTGCCCTGAAGATAATGATAATGCTGACAGATCAACTTCCAGTTCATTGCGCCCCGCAACGTTTCCCCCTCCCCGCAGAGCAGCGTAAAATTGATAAACAGATTTCAGAATAGTTAGAGAAACAAATCACCTCTGTCACTTTCTTCATGCCTTTATCCATTTTTTGCAGCAATTCCACTTTTTGTTTAATGGACACTGAGACATACTTTCGCTTTGTAGATCCTTTGGCAGCTCCAGAATTGGAAACTGTTTTTGACATAATCGAAAGTTCAAACTTACTTTTTATAAAATTGCTCTAACAATCTGCAAAAAATAATAAGCCAGATCCAATTCGAAGATTAAGGAACAACACAATCTGCAACATTAACTGAAATAGATAATTGGATAATTTTAGCCTAGCTTATACCGTCCGTTAAACATTAAACGCGCATGCGTTAACCCATTTATAATATGTTTACGCATGTAACTGCTTTATTACTGTTTTACAGAATGCTCAGAATATGTTGTTCTGCTTTAGATACAGAGTAGCAGCACATATTTTCTTCTCTGTGTGAAGTAGCAGTTAAGATAACTTTTGTACAAATATAAAAATAAAATCATTGAGAAAATGTTTCCTTAGCATAATAATTATGGTATGTAATACATTTGCATTCTGATTTATTTTGTGTATTTCTTTCTCTTATAGGGTTCTGCATGTTTTGCGATTCCAGGAAAAGGCTTTATTCTTTTTGGAATATTTTATACATTAGGAAATATTACTGCTTTAGCCAGGTTTGCTATTTTTGTTTTCCCATTATCGTCTTCTGTGTCAGATTTTTTTAATATTTTTGAGGTTACGACTTGTAAATATATTGGATTTAACACATAAATGAAAAGATGTGCCTGCTTTAGGAATACTTCTATATAATGAAAATTGTTCACTTTTTGCAAACTGCTTGTAATAATTTGTCATTTAATTTTATGACAGTTGAGTGAGTAGAAGTAGTTGCTGATTATGTAAATGAATTGTACATTATATTTTTAATCCATATCATCTCCATTGCTGAAATGATTAGTTAGACAAATGCAGAAAATTTATTAAATTTTATTTCAAGCTTGGAGAAACATGCAAAATACATAAATTATTGTTAAAGACATATTTCAATATAACTTCAGAAAATTCAGCATGAGTATGACCAATAAAAATGTAAATTTCATAATGATTTAAGATGTAAATTTAATAGTAGGATTATCATATGAATGTGGCACTGAACCACTGCAAGTGTTATTGGAATGTTAGGAACAAATAGACTCCTATTATGCATTTTAACTGATTTTTCATTTTCTTAATACTATTCTCCCATAGACCCCCCCCCCCGAAATATGGGGCAGAGGGAGCACCGAATCTTCAAACAATGCTTTCTTGTGTCAGGTGGTTTTGGAACTTTAGAGACGATAAAAATTCATGCCTTAACCCTTTGTAATTTACGCTCTACACCAAGAAAGTTAGTTACTTGATCAGAAAACATCTGTGAATTTTCCCGACGGGCCACAGATTTTGACTTTAAATTCACTTTTCTGGACTAAGTGCACAATAATATCTGAAACTGTATTAAGTTCAGGAATAGTTAAAACTCCATCAACTTTTAATGTGAAGAATTGGAATTTTTTGCAAATCTGACATCATGCCATTACACGTTAGAGTTTATTCCAGGGGGAAAACTTACTAAAAAGGTCAAATTCATTTTGATTATTGGATGTAATGCACACCACAGTTTTTCTATGCTCTTCAAGAGAAAGTTTCAAAACCAAAATTCGTTGTGTATAAGATCTATCAACTTTGCATCTCATGATACATCTGCAGGATTTTCAATTCCTTTGCATGCCGCTGAGAAGGAGCAGTTAAATTATGTACCTTTCTAACATGATTTTCTACAAAAGGCTTCCAATTATTAGCTATTCCTCCTTTTATTTCTTTATATGATATTTAATAGTTGCTGCAAGTGTGAAAGGTGATTAACAAGTTACAAAGGGTAACTGTGATATTTTGCATATTTGAAATGACATATTTTCATCATTATTGAACCAAATAAATTTTAAATATTTTTTTTTAATCTTCATGAAGCAAAATAGAACAAAGCCCACCTTTTATGTCTGTCCCAAAAGCTATTTTGGGCAACCTGAATTTTAAAATGATATCTAATAAATTGCTGTACAAGTTGGGTCCCTGAATTAGACATTCGTTTAAAGAATTGGCACCTTTGTCTTTAGATGAACAGTCATAGACGATACATACAGCACTGGTTGCCTTGTGATGGCAAATTACAGGAATATACAAACAGAATAGCTATCCTTTCATTCACTAAATAACTAATCATTATGTTTCAGTTAGTTTTTGAACTTCAAAAATCTCTGCTTAGGAAATTATTTTTAAGCTCAAATTTTCTGTTGTTGAATAACAACGTAACAATGTATTTTGCATTCTTGAAATGTAAGTTCTTTTCAAACAGTTCAATAACCTATGAATCTTTTTGCAATAATAAGTCACTGTCTCTCAAAAAAATTACTCTAATGTCAAAATGTTTGAATGTCGAACAGGATAATTGAATCATCTACTTCTTTAACTGAAGCATAACAAGTAAAAATATTTGAAATACTTCTATTTCAAGATTTCTGCTTTCAAATGGTTTGTCCAAACAGTGTCAGAATTAAAAATAATATATCCAGCATTTTTCTTTTAAGGCCTGTTTGTACAGACCAAATAACTCATTCCGATTAAAACATTTATTTTCCATTCACTTAAGGGATACTCTGCTAGGTAACGCTTTTGCTTTCCCATAAATTCTGTAACAAAAGGAGATAGTTGACCTTGAAACTGAGCTTGAGTCATGTGATATTTTATCTGTTGTATAAACCCCAATAAATATGCTTTTTGACGGATTAGTTCTACATTTGAAAGTTATGGAACTAACAGGAAATTATTTTTCTTCGCAATTATTTCTAAATGGATAACTTTTGACTTTTTTATTCTTTTTATAGCGAAATTTAATTATTTTGCGAATGCTTTTGAGCAGTAGCTCAACTTGGAACCTGAATCAAATAAGATTCGACAAATCTTTCTTCTTCTTCTTCTTCTTCTCTCTCTCTCTCCTTTTTTTTTTTTTTTTTTTTTTTTTTTTTTTTTAAATGAGTAATGACCAAGCAGTATAATTCTCTACTTCGGGTTTGTTTTTAGATAAATAAAAAGGTTTATTATGGGGCGATTTCTAACAAATTTTACAAGTTTTTACACTTATTCTACCGTAAACTGCCCTATTTTTAAAGCAGCGGTAGCACAAATTCAATGTTTTTAAATGCTTTTGTTTCTGTTTGTCAGTGTATTTCATACATTCAAGAGAATCATGTTCATTATAAGTATCATGAAAAGCAAAAATTTTCTTAATAGTAGTACTAAGTATATTTTTGAACACCTGTTTTAGATTAGCCGCCACATAATCATTACTTACAGAGTTGTTATTTAACATAGTGTCTTCTCTGCATTCAGTTTTGATTTTAATGAACTCACTTAATTTACTCACTTTGGTATTTTTCTCAGATGATCTTTTCCTATGAAATTCAAGAGCTAAATCTTCTGGTAACAATTTAAAAATTATTGAGTTCAGTAACTGGTCGTATGACCTGCTAGTAACATCCAACTATTTAAATTTCTAACAGAGATTTGTAACTGATCATAGAATTATCTTAAATCATTAGAATGTACCTTTTAACTGGTTTTAAACTGTAAGAGGATTTGCATAAATTTTGATGTAATAACATCTTTGCGACCAAACCTCTTTTCTAAACTTTTAATACACATATCATAATTTTGTTTTGGATAAACCCAGATTAGAGTGAATTGCATTATCGTAATAATTAAAAAATTCTAGTGGTTTACTAGGATCACCAAAAAATTTTTCTAAATTTATTTTAGGTAACTTTATTGAAGCACTATTTGCAACAACTTTATCACTTTTAATTCTCTTTATTACTAACAATCTTAAACATGATTTTTTCGTTACATTCTTCACATGCAAGTAGTTCTTTATCATATTCTTTTCCATCAAAGATTAGACCATTGATCTTTGTGTCTGGAGTTTAAGTTTCTTGAGGGATTCATTTAAGAGTTATCATGTGACAAGTTTAAATTTTCTAGATGTTCTTTATTTAATTCTGCTGAAAAATATTTCTCAAATTTATTTAGAAGTGTGGTAACTTTACTACATGCAATAGAAAATTTTTTAAAGCTTTTCCTAGATCATGCATCATGTTTCATTTGAAAGATCGATACTAAGAAATAAAATAATTAAAAATCTTACCAACCAAATTATGGCTCGAATTCCTCACTGGTGACTCCAAACAATGAGAGGTGTTGGAACTACCTCGTCATAACCAGAGGATTGGTTGCATGTGGTCTGTGAGTTACTCTTATTTCAAGAAATTTCCTGAGTTTACATATGGCATTCATTACAATGACAAACTGCAACAACACAGTAGACATTTGGAAAGAAGCCAACACTGAGTAATGGTTACTGATACATAAACTTTGACATATTCGATAATGGCACTATAAGATTTGTGCTCCCTTATGAAGACTTGCATTTTCTGACACAGCAAGATGTGCATCTGTACTTGATTAGTTATAAGGCTTAACTAACAAAATTCTTTTGGTGCAACAGTGTATATCATTTATTCATAACATTAGTATTTTATGCCTTGGCTTAACTGTTATATATACAATATTTATTTACATATTCTTCACTTCAGATAACATCTTTAAATTTCTATGAAATGAATGAGTTGAATTGATATTATTTTAACTGTATCAAAGAGATACAGGTAAAATTAATAAAATATTGAAAATATTTGAGACTCCCAGCTGTGTTTTCAAGCCCAGCTGAAATACAAAGATAAGTGTAGAGAAACTACATTGAATATCTAAAACATTCATTTGCCTCTTTATTCAATGTACAGTTAGTATTTGACCCGCTTCATAAAAAGCTCTCGTTGATTTCTACTGTTTTGTTAAGCCCTCCGATTTTGCTAGGAGTTTTGTTTAGAATGCTGTAAGTACAAACTTCCCGTAATTTTTCAGTCTATTACTGTTTTTTACAGCACATAATGCATTTATTAATTTTATTAAAAAAAGTCAAAAAAATGTAATTTCTTCTGCATTGTGTCCTGGTACATTTTTTATTTTCTTTTACATAAAGTATGTTTTGCAGCCTTCTTTTTTTAAGGGAAGCTTTACAAAATCATTATAACAATTCCTTCAAAATTTTGAAGCATTCATGTTGGTTTAATTGCTTTAAAAAAAAGGATTTGTTTTGCTTTTTAAATGCCTAAAACTTGCTACACTGGGCAATCTATAACAGCCTGTGTAATAATGCAATTGTTAAAATTTCATATGAAATTGAAACAATTTCCTCCCTTGTTTCCTTTAACCCAGTTAAAAGATCAAAGCTTTCATATGACATCATCTCACACACAAAAGAATTGTACCTCAAAGAGTGTGCTGTCTCTAATCAGAAACCTAATTCTTGTGGTAATTGCGACTAATTAATTACCTGTGGCAGATTTTCATTCTTCAGAGAAAACTAGAATGGGTTATAATAATCTTCTGTAGTTGGTCATCTCTTGGCTGTTTATATGAAAAGTTGGCTCAAATTTAAGTCATGAGTATATGCATCATATTTTATATTGTTGTTGTTTTACAACAGTCATGTTATTAGAAAATTTTCTAAAATTTTGCCTGGAAATTAGAACTTTAAATTCTGAATTTTTTTGAGAATGTCATTTTATCTATTTTTACCATATTCAATAAATATTATGTTTTAACTTTGCAGATTATAAACAATCTTTTATTATTTCAGCACCATGTTTTTAATGGGACCGTGGAATCAGTTGCAAAAAATGTTTGCACCAACAAGAATTTTGGCCACTATATGTGTCCTGGTTTGTATATAAAATTGTATTATAAGATTTTAAATTATTTTATTGAGCATCAAAATGTAGAGGTAATTTATTCAAGTTTATATAAACAACTGCAACTACATAAAGTTTAATGGAGGAAGTTTGAGATTTAATAATATGGTGAGTTATAAGTAGAATTATATATGTATTAATTACTCAGGATTCATCATTATAGGAAGACTGTATAAATACTATTTCTTTTATTGGCATTACTATTAATATTTTGTTGAAATTGTTATATTGAAAGTAAAAATATAATATTTTAGTGGTGGAATTTATTGAAATTCATTTATTTTCAGTGTACATTTGACAATTTCCTTAAAAATAAATTGTGAAATAAGTTTGAGTGAAAATTCTTTCTCGAAAAATTATGTTGCTTTTAGTTTTCTTTTACCCAGTGTCTATTTATAGTACTTCTTAACATTCCTGCTGTAACTTTCCTAACATTCAAAACTTGGTATTGAAATGCTTGTAACTGTTTGTGATTTACAAAAGTCATACAATGTGCTTTTTTGAAGTAATATTAATATTTTTAATTTATGAAAAATTTCAGTATATCTTATTTCCTTTAACTTCCTTTCTGAAATCCTCAAAAAATTGTCTTACTGAAATACAGTTTGCAGTTGGAACTGACTCTACCTTTTATGGCTCAGATGCTCAAAATAATGTTTGTACAAGATTGAAGAGTTTTTTGAACCAAACTTCATTTGTAAATTTTATAAATATGAACTATGAAATCAATATCCAAGTTCAGGCAAATTTATAGATTGTTATAGCTGTGATGTCAATTAAAAGAGTATTTGAAAATAATTGTGTTTACATGATTATTTATATTCCAGTGTAAATAATCATGTTTACATGATTATTTGTGTATTTGTGTTTCAATGTAAATAATTGTGTTTATACCAGTGTAAATAATTGTGTTCTAATTTGATAATAGTTAGTAATGTATTATTATGGGTATGAATTCTTGCCTTGAAAATAAAATTTACAATGTTGCCATATAACGAAAACAACTATGCAGCTTAGCTCATTTGAATAGTTTAGTTTTTTATTCATTCATAAAATAAAATAAAATATTATGACTGATATTAAAAGAAAAATTTTAAATTTCTGATTTAAACTGGATGGTTGGAACATATTGAAAAAAGAATTTAAGGAATTCCTGTTGCATTTGTTAAAAAATAAGTGAAATTGCTACAAGATGAATATCTGAAATAGAACTTGGCATAAAATTCTGCAACAACTATGTACTTTGAGCATAAAAGTCATTTTAAGAGTAATTCCAATTTTTAAGCATAATAAACAGTATAATATGCATTCAAAGTATTATAAGAATACAAAACACTTTATGAACGTGAAGTGTCAGCATTACGTATGACAGAGGAAGTTTTCTCTTGAGAAAAGAATGTAAGTGCCAACAAGAATTGCTGGATATGTTTATGAATCTTTTATTTTATGGAATAGATAATGCTGTCTTCCCACTACAATTATGACTGTAAATGCAAACACATATGCCTGATCCAGATCTGTTTTACCAAGTATATAAACATGTCATCTTTATAATGTGAATGGCCACAATTTTATTTCATGTACTTTTTAATCGGAGAATAAATGACTGATTAGGTTGTTTAAGTTAAACAAAGCAGATGATGGCACCTGCTTAAGCTCCATCCTGAGAAGCTGGAATCTGAGAGTATCTTAGAGCATGTTTATATCAACAGATTTTAAGTGCCCCCATCATTCCCCAAACACTTTAGATTCACAGATATATACCCTGTATCCATGACTTGAATTGAAGCCAGTGGCATAGCATGATAATTTACCTAAAGCAGCCAGGCAGTAAAAGAAGTTGAATTTTTTAACCACTTCCTGATTATCCCGAGTTATCTCTTCATATATATATATATTGCATTAACTGCAATACATATTATCCCGCGAAAACTCGGGCGAAGCAGAATTTGTTAGTACGATTTCTTTTATAACGGTTTTACTCAGTCTGGAGGAAATGAAAGGAAATATTCAGCTTTGATTGGCAGTTTGCCAAATTTTGTTGGTTGCGCGGTTATTTTGGAGGGACTGGTCACGTGTTTCCCTACTGTATAGTATACGTTGGCTTGTGGATTAGTAATATATAAAGAAGGATACATGCGTTGAAAAAAAAAATAAAATAATGTCGATGATGCAAGATAGCGAAAGCGATGATTTTTCAGATAGTGATTATGAAGAGGTGGGGGAAAAAAATCAAATCCAATGAGACAGTGTACTCTGTGCTACAGTGAAAGAGATTCCAGCGGTAAGCCAGTAAGAAAAGAAACCAGATACCAGTGCAGAATGTCAGATATCACTCTATGTTGTCCCTTGATTCAAAAACTACTATACAAAGATTAATATTTAACTTTTTTTCGTTTGCCCGAGATAACTCGAGATAGTAAACGAATATTAAAAATAAATGCTTTTACACCTTCAAAGAATTAAAATTTAACTTAAAACCCACATATTTTTATTTGTTTCATTTTGTTGTATTTAATAATAAAATAAAAAAATGTGATGATTTTTTGAAATTTTTTTCAAAAAAATTTGTAAGGGAAGCGGGTAACAGTTGTAAAAACAAAATGCAGTATAAAATTTAAACTTTCTAAAATCAAGTAGTAAAATCATGTGTTTGATCTCCTTGTATACATTCTTTTTTGTATAACACTGTAGCTGTAGTGTTCTATGAAAATGGCAATGGCATTTATGCTTCCCATAGATGGACAGTCTTAGATTGCCTATGCAATTAATTAATAATCAAATTAAAATCACTGATTTTTTATGTACCAATCAAATCTAAATGTAATTAAAAAATTATGTTTTTACTGTTTTATACTAAATTACTTTTTACTATTCATTTTTAGAGTTTTCTTGCTCTTACTCTGTGTGCAGCATTTTGGGTATGTGCTCTTTTTTAGTAGTAAAAATTATCCTTTTTAAAAATAATGATTTTCAGGAATATTTTTAATATTTGAGTTTTAAACTTTGAGTATAATATTTAGTACTGATGAATAATTTAATGTTGATGAATTTCTGTGATTCCTTACGCACATCTTGCTTGATAATCCCCAGAATTATAAGAATATTTGGAAATTATGCTTAAAACTATATTTTCTTCTTTAGCTAAACACTAAAAGAGTGCTGAAGGTAGACACCTTCAGCAGTCTTTTAATGTTTAGCTTTGTGCAGATTTATGTTGATTCCAATACATGAAAATTTGATAAAATGACCATTCATAGTTCCAGATAATTTTAGCCTTTATAATTGAGCGTCTTGGAGAACATGACTGTCCATGACATTTAATATCATTTTTACTAACTTGTATGAAGTAAAGGAAGTATTATAATCATGGAAAATTTCGGGTACCATATTTCAACGAAAATATCAATTTTGACAGCTATCAAATCCATATGAATGATGTTTTTGCAGGACATCTGCTGTATCTATAGACAGAATAAAGGACTCTTTCACAAAGCAGATTGTAAAATGGATTCAGAAGATATTTTTTCATGACATCTGTACATGCATGCATGTGTATATATCTTGCATAATTCAAAAACAAGTAGCCTCAGAAGTTTCAAATTTTGTATAAGAGACTGCTATAACATGTAGTTGTGCACCTTCCTTTTTGGTTGCAATTGGCTGCACCAAAAGTATATTTATACACCCACTCTGTTACCCTGCTTGGTGAGCTCATTTTTTTATTCTTATATTCAATTGTGCATTTTTTGTTTAAAATGTGATTGAATTATGTTGTTCTTATGTTTCCGTTAAAGTTGTTATGCCTTTAGTTAATCTGCATACAGAGTAGAATCAGCAGCAATTTAAAACTTGTTTAAGTTCTACTAAGGACTAATGAAGCCGCTATTTGTTTATAATTGAAACTCTTAGAAGAATAATGAATCAAATCAGTTTCTGCACCAACGTCAGTGTCTTTTTGCTGAGTGGGACCGAAAGTAAACTTTCAGTTTTGTGCATCAGAAAAATCTGTCTTCTTGACCACTGCCTGAATTGCTTGCTTTTGCATGGAAACTGTACCAATTTAATTGTGTTTTAAACTGTTCTCAACTGTATTTGGTGTTTTATGTTTTTTCATATTTTACAATTTTTAATAAAGATGTTTTGAGTTTTTATGTATATTTGCCTTCCCACGAAGTGACAATTGAATTGATTGAATGAGAATTATATCTCTAATGAAATTCGAGAGAATAAATGAAATGCAGCAAAAATGTGTATAATTTAATAGGTCCTACAAGGAAGTCATGTGGCATCCATATCAGATTTTTTTTTTATTATGTTCTCAGAAATAGTAGCTTCAAAGGTGGTTGCCATGAGATGTTTTCTTGTATCTTTCTTCCTAAATATTAAATGTTGACATTCTGATTTAAAGTAAAAATTAAATTAAAATATCCTTTTCATTAATTGATTGATATGTACATAGTGTGAGCATAACCTCTCATGTGAATATTTTAAATATTCAAGTATATAAACAAGGACTATTTTTTAAATTTTATGCATTATGTTTTATAGGTTGTATTTCATTTTATAATCTTAATCTCCATGTAGTGTAGTTTAATTATTGTAAGTCTTCCTACTCTTTCAATGAAGATACTAGACTCACTGTCTGCACGTCTACTTTCTTACATATCTTTCAAGAAGTTATCTAAAGCATCTTCCTCCTCTTTAAGATGATTCAGAAGTAGAGAATGACGTTCCACTGTATACATCTCAGCTTATTGGAATGTCACTACTTTGCCATGAATTGGGCATCTTTCAATTTCAAATTTAAATAAATTTTCAAAATAAATTTGTGTGATGAAAATCAAGGGGGATTCATAATGTAGTACAAAGTTCATTATGTGGGATATTTTTCAATTCCTGTTTGCATTCATTCTGCAGTCACCACTCTGTAATGTATACTATCTCAGTGTTTATGCAGGAAATTTAAAACTGAATTCATGTCTTAGTTATTGGTGATGTTAAGAGTGTTTGCAAAGTTGCCTACCAAAGAAGCGTATTTGATATAAGTGAAACATAAATTTTAGTGGGTGAGCGTAATAGATGAACAGGATATGTCAACCTAAGACAGTGAGGAAAAAATATATACTACATATAAATGCTGTCCATGAGTCTAGATTCCTATTCCCATTCTAGTGTTCAAAACCTCTATTCCATGTATCACATCATTGCACCATGGCTAAAATTATAGTGTTTGCTGTAGTGCATTTATTTTCACTTTTTGAAAATTAATATTAGTTATTTTTTATATTTATTATAAATTATTATTTGTTATATTTATTAGTTATTTGTTAATGTAACATCTTTATTTCAAGGTTTTCTAATTTGAGTGACATTATCAAAAATGATATATAAAATGCATTGTATTATTTGACTCACTATTATATTTATGTGTATTTCAGTGGAAAAAAATTGGCTTGGTCGTTTTATTCTGCATTTTTCAGTTTCTTTCTATGACATGGTATTCACTATCATACATTCCTTATGCTAGGTGAGTTTTTTAATGCCTTCTATAAATATTTGTTTCAAGTTCTATATATATTACTATATTTTAAAAAATTCTCTCGAATAGCAATTTTTAATTTTTAGAAATATGTTTGTTTAGATTATATAAAATGATAGTTTAAAATTTAATTACCCTAGGTGAAGAATAGTTCATTAAACAGTGCACTAGAGTACAATATGGCAGAGGTACATTACTTATTTAAGCACCCAGGTTCTCAAAACACTTGTCTACATAGTTAGCTAGACATTTGGTTCCTTGATAGAAATTTGTTCCTTGATCTTGGTGCCATCCTAAAACCAATTTGCATTTATTCCTTACTGACAAGTTATTCCCTGACTGAATTTCAGTTTTAAATTGTCACTTTGCTGTTAGTGCTAATCATTCCATCAATTTTCAGCATAACTTTTGTCATTGATGTTAATACCCTCCATGCTGATCAGCATAAGTTGTGTCTGCAGTGGTTTTCCAACTATTGGTATTTCTTTATCTGGCTGGACATGACTTTACTTTGTGTATCTCCCATGCACCTCTGTAAAATCACAATAAATTTTATGATAGTTGAGAATTTTTGCCTATAAAAATCACACAGTTCCTCATACTTCAATTTTGGAGTAACTTTTCAGTAACCATTTTTCTCTTGTGCTGCAATGTAATCCTTATTGCTACTTAAAAAAATAATAATAATAAACAAATAATAATAATAAACTCTTATTAGGAAGATGGAGGACCTGAAACTATATTCTCCGGATGTGTAAATGTATTTTGCAGTTCGGCCTGATGTTGTCAATAGTTATAACTTGTTTTTTGAATTTGTTATATATGAGGATTTGATAATAGAAAAGTTAGGAATTGCTATAATTGCTCTTTTGTGCGACTGTTAAAATCTGAACCCTTTTCAATTTTTTTCAAAGAATTTTTCTTTCTCCCCCCCCCAAATATATATCCTTGTTGTCCATGGAATATATTACTAATAAAAATTAATTTGAGTGAAATTTCATTTTGAAACAGAAAGTTAATATCAAGTAGTTTGGGAAAAGAAGAGAAGCAATAATCATTTTCTAGAGTGCATTACTCCTAACATTTAACTTCTATTACATATGTAATTGTTTGTGCATAACAGCTTAAATATTTTGCTGGACAGTAGTAAAAAATGAGTAACTTAAGCATTTTACTGTAACAACAATAAATGCTTATATGTAAATAATATTTATCTTTTATTGTTACCATGATGTTTTGTTAAATAATAGAAGTATAGATAAATAAAAAAATACAATATATTTATACTTATATTGGTAGGCCTTTTTTAAAAAAATGTCTGAGACTTGAAATGATTATGCTATACTGTAGGGATTATTTATATTCATAGCTGACTGTGATTTTAATTTTCATAAATTCTGTGCTTTCATAAATTCTTGTTTGCTTATTAATTTATTTCTTTAACATAGGAATGCTGTCTTAAAGTTTTTCCAGTCATGCATATCATAGTAATTAAGAAGAAATATTTCAATGTAAACTTATTTTCTGAAGCTTTCTGATTCTATGAGTCTTACAATTAATCAAAACAACCAAAATATGTGTGTAATTTGGAACATTGTTTTGTATGAATACTGCTATTCAGCAAGAAATTTTCTGCACTTATTGCAGACTGACATTTATTGTGTTATTGTATACTTAATAATTGAATAATGAATAGCTATTTTTGATACACTATTGTGAATCTATGTAAGTTTTTGTGCATTATTAAGACATAAATTTTATACAAATGAATTTAATATCTACAATCAAAATTTTTTCTAATTCATTAAAAGTGATATATAAATTTGCATTTCTTTGCAAAATAACCATTTTTCTAATATATGCTAATATAGGAACTATAACAGCTTTTCCTTTTTTTTCTTTGTATGCCTAGAACAAGTTAGTGCTTTTTTATAACAAAAATGCAATTACTATTTTCTGAAATGTGGTATAAAAACTTTTAGAAACTTGTAATATTTTTTGTAAAGAGTATTTTTATAAAAACATGTATTCTTATGAAATCATAACCATAAATATCTTACTCAGTTACATGAGGTATAATTATATTTATATTATATAGTATTTTGTAAATAATAATTTTATAATTATTTTACCTCAACTTTTGAAAATAGTTTATTCATGCTGTGATGTTTGTAGTATGACATGTGAAAGCATATAAAACAAAAAAGTTTATTCATATATTTATTTTGTTTAAATAATATTTAGCCTTTTAAGCAGCATGCCATGGCAGTCTTTGTGCGTGAATAGCTGTGTTTAAACAACATTTATTAGCTAAATTTGTATAACTACTTATTAATGGTTTTCATAGTCTCATTCTCTTTAAGATGATAGTTTTATCATTAAAGTAGGCGTAAAGCCTTTACATGCTTTACCATAATCAAATAAACCAATTAAAGAATATAATATATTTTAATTAAGGTAATATATGTCAAGTAGTAGCAAATCTCATGATTGAATAAAAATAATCATACTGCTCAGAGGTAAATATTGCTAAATATTAAAATATAATATAATACAAAGCTAAATATTGCTTTTCAATATTTAGCTTTTTATTATGTACATAAAAACAAATTTTAGTAACATGCTGTACCTAAAATTGTGATGTATTAATGTAGTGAAATAATAAAATTTTGCAAAATGGTTATTAAAATATAATGCAGTAATTTCATTCATTTTTAAAAAATCGATATTTTTGTAAAATTAGATATTTTATAAATTGAGATATAGCCATGTTATTAAATATTGAGGCATTTTTTTTTAAATTTTGAATAGGAAAGTTGGCTGAGTTGTAAATTTTTTTAATATATTATGAATTGCATATTTTGACTGATAGGAGTTTTTGAAGTAAACTTTGTAATAATCAAATTGTAATATCTTGAAGTGCCAGTGCATGATTACAGCAGTATTTAAATTTATTTCATAATACTCGCCATTTTCATATTTAATGTATTATTTATTAATGTTTACAAATATTGGCATTTTACATTTAGTGATTATTTGCTATCACATGATGTAATTTTGTTCACATTTAATGAAAAATGTATCTAGAGTAATTTATTTCATTTATTTAGGAGTGTAAATGCATCCAGTGCTTGAAATTTAAAGGCCATTTTTGTATTCATTTAATGTCATTTACTATTTAATGTCACTCATTCTTAGTGTAGGTTCTGCTATGATTTAATAAATATTTGATTTGTGAGGTTAATTTCTTGTCATCACTTTCAACGTTTTAAACACTGTTGTGTAGTGTCCAGTGGAGAATGTTTCTTAGCACCTGCAATGTTGTTCTTT